TTTTTATTTCGACGCTGGATAAGTCACCGTGAAAGAGATTTCCTCCAAGGTGCCGAGGAAAATGTCGAGGTTGGGGCAGATAAGTCAGGCACTGGGATAAAAAGGGGAATTAGAAAGGCAAAAAGAGGATGAGATATACTTTTATATTCTTTATTACCCGGTGGCTAACAGCAAGAGAGGATGAGAAACATTACGCGACAAATTCAGACAGAGACCCCCTTTTAATTCTCGCTTACTCTCAACGGCGCGTCGAGTAATTAGTCGCTCTCAGTACTGTAGCTTATATAATGTAAGGTACAGTGCCGAAGGACTGAAGCTATTTTCCACCTCTTTCTACCTCTTTTTAGCTTCTGTCTCGCTTGTTCTTTCCCTGTTTACGTGGTTTTCTCTTATCCTTACTCCCCTTTAACTTTACCCATCGTCCATTGTACCTTGGGAATCCCTCCTGGCTTCCCTGTCGTTAATCGTTTGTTGTCTAAACGTTCCAACGCAATCCCTAGTATATTCTCAGGGCTCACTATGCCTGCATTGTTCACCTTGTTTGCCATCCTCAACGTCACATTTTTACTCGCATTTTTTTTTTTCGCTTTCTTACTTTACCCAAGATTATGTTAGACACGGGAGTACACGTGTCATCCGTCATCGTTATCGATGGTAAATTGACGTTCGTGTGATGAATATTTTCCTTCAGGTGGTTTTTCATTCCTGGTGATAAAAAAGCGGTAAATCTTACAGCGGTTTCTTAGGTCATGATGCTCTAGGCTCATGGTCTGGTCGGGGCTTTGAAATATTTTTTTTTATCTCAAATTGTAGTAATAATTCCCCCGAGTTTTTCATCTAATGAAAATTCAATCGTCTTTGATGTTCATTGAGAAATCAATTATTATTCAAAATGCACAATAAAATTCTCAGGAATTTTCAAGATAAATGAGAAATTTAATAATTGTGTTTAATTAATATTCAACTTGAACTCATATTATTAAACATTCCGATGATTTAGCAACTGAAATCTTGAGGAATTGTTAATTGATTGAATTATTAATGAATTACAGATAGATTGTCCATCAATTTTGGGGTAAAACTAGTGCAATTCCCAGAAATTCCTGTGATATCACGTTTCCATTAAAAATTCAAAGAGAAAAACTCGCAATTCAGAACAAATCAATGTCTACTCCCAAATCTCATTAAACGTCGCTCCCCGAAAAATCCTGCTTTAGGTGCCAATAAATTTCAATCCCTCCCCAACAATACATTGATCCACTATTATTCTCAACAATGCTAAAATAAATATCATGACTCCTTCATCAGGGTCAAAATATTTACTAGAAAGTTATTCCCTCGTTTACTCCCAACTCCCCCATTTGTTCCAATAATTTTCCACGATCGATTGGTCTATGCGGCTAGAGCCTCCTGCACTCATCCATCCTCTCACGCTACCATGCAAATCCCCCAAAACCCGCGGCTTTCTCCTTGTTCCATCGACGATAAAGAAACAAGAAAAGCATTTCTATATTTTTTTATCCCGATCCCAGTTTCCCCCCACTGGCCGATTATTCCCAGTTGGCGTCCACTGGGCGGTATTTTTGAACTGAGAAAACTGAGAATGAAGAATCGTAAGATCACCCCATTGTTCTCCCCATTCACTGTTTACTGCCACACGTTTAAGAGTAACATAAAAAAAAAAGTAAATTGTACACTACCATCGAGAGTTGCGGCATAATGGGGGACCCCCTGTGGTAGCTTTACCTGCATCATCGACTAATCACATCGGATAATAGGTAACAATACTAGGTCCTGTGAAAAGTGAAGCATATACCCACCACTTACCTCTTGGATAGAGGTATAATCCTCTTAACGCACCGCGCGCCAAGCACAAAGTAAATCGCTCCCGTTTCTCATTTTTCTTTTCCCATTATTATGGAAAAGTAGAGGCACTCTCTCTTGGTTGTCCACTCGTCCGTGACCTTCACGATGGTCAAGTATTACGGCACACAGCGGTGCCAATAAACAGAAATATCGGTGAAAACCGATCGAGCATTCATTTCCCTCGAATGGTACTTGAAAATCTTTTAAGCGGTGGGGGAGAGTGCTAAATTGTGGAAAATCTCGAGGCAAATGTATTTTACTTGTGGATTTGTTGGCCTCACTCTTCAGACATTTTTTAAATCGAACGATGCTCTTGGAATAACCTCATTATAGTCAACCGAAGTGGAGTTTTTATATTCTCGTTCACGGGGGGCTTCCGCAGTTGCCTGGAAGTGCCTTCAGGCGTCCATGTTTTCTCGTTACCTTTTCACCCTTGATATTCACCCCCTTGATCTATTATCTCTCTTCATGGGCTCATGTGGTCCCTCAGTTTCTCTTCTTTCTCGTAACTGCACGTACATTTCGTTCATTCGGTGGGGTATCACTGAAAAAAACATATTCACAAGTTGAATTTAATCCACCCTCCGGGTTTTTCCGCGTGCCCCAAGAAACTTTTTCCTGCCATCGCACGCTTTTCCGATTTTTCCCTCGTTGACGACCACCGATTCAGTGGATGGTGGTATCATCGAACACCATAGAGCAAGTTATCTCGCTTTATTAAATTTATCAGTGGGAAGCACATTTAATTGAGAATTAAACGAATATTGATTAAATACTGAACCCTCTGCCGAGGGAGAGTAATTTATTAATAATTCGTCTGCGTGTGGCTGTTTCTCTCTGTAAATAACTTCAAGTGCAGATAAACTATAAGAGAGCTTTGAAAACCGCAGTAAAATCGGGCCGCGGTTGGTTGTTGAATTCCCACAGGGGCTATTAAGTCAGCCGCATGTGTAAGCATCTACTTAGAGAAACGAGAGAGGAAGAACCATCCCCCATTCCCCAATAGCCGTGGAAAGTGATGAGCGAGGGGGAGAGTAAAACGAGTTGATGTTGGTGTACCAGTAATGTGGCAATGCGCGCTTTTCTCGTGAGTGACTCGATATACCACTCTGGTGTAGTAAAGAGAGTCCTAGAGAGGATGAAAAACCAGAGGAGAGTGAGGAATTGAGAATGGAGAAGGAGAAGATTGGATGCGAGTGAGGATAGAGAGGATAAGTACGTTGAAACAGGTCGGGCGTAAGTACCCGGACGTTAGAAAATACGTGTATACTCACGAGGCATAGTGGCCTCGAGAGGAGAGTACGAAATGCTAGATTAGGTGGGTATATCGCGCGTTGGGATAAAAGACAGAGAGCCAAAGCAAGAAGATAGGATGATGATGAAGGTGGGGGAGGAAGGGGGTGAATTCCTAGAGTTGGTCTTGTACTGACTAGCAGTGACTAGTAGCAGTGCTGACTACGCGGCTAGGACTGACTAGCGTTGACTAAGGCTGACGTAGGGTGAGAGATAAGGAGAGAAAGGCCAGTGGGGAAAAAGAGAGACGACACAGACGAGGAAAGGAAGTAAAGAGAGAGAGTGAGAGAGGGGATAGAGAGGGGCAATAGTGGGGTGGTGGGCTATAAAGGCTAATTGGTTAAAAGCTCACCGCCGCTGCAGGCTTAAATCAAGATCTTGGAGTGTTATAATGGATAAGTAACACGGCGTGGCACGGGACGGGCCCGCGGCCTTCTCCCCTCCTTTTAATTCACCCCCTAACCTCCCTCTCTGCATCCCTAACTCTCACCTAGTGTTATATCTTTCGAGTTAAGGACCGGTGGCATCCCATTGGTCGACACTGTAAGCTACCCCTGAGCGCACCGACTCGGTACAGGCCATCGATCGCAACCACCACCCTATGAGAAATCGAGGGTGTCCCTCCCCTTCAATACCAAAGCTCCGCCCCACACCTAGTCAATCCTCCCCACCAACCCCAAACCTCACTTCACCAACACTCACAGCCATCTAATACACTCCATTCGAAAAACCAACTTCCAGGCACACTCATGCATACACCACTCGCAACAACAGTTACCCCCTCTGAATACTCCCGTGTCTATTTCGTTCTCATTCTTTTGCCTCTCCAGTTTTCGTCACGTATCTCACTCGGACCGTTATAAAACACCCCGTTTTAGATTCTCACAGTTATGTACGCGGTACCCTATCGCACTTGAAAAATAAACGAAACGAAAAAAAAAAAAGAAAAGAGGGAAAAAAAAAAAACGTTGTGCACATATTTAGACGACAGTGTTGGTGAACCAGTTGCGGATGATGTGGATGTTGTTGATGATGTGAATGTTGTGTGCTTGCACCCAACAGTCCTCAGACTAAAAAAAAAATATATATGCAGGGTGCTATCACTCACGTACCGAGGATGTACTCACTCTGATGGTGTATTTGTGCGTGCAACCTATGGCTACGTGTGACCTGCGGTTTTCTCCAGTGTTTGCCAGGCCCTTAGTTGCAGTTATCAGCCACTGATCGGTGGGTGTAAGATCAACGAGACTGTTGGGTGCACTTATACTTCACTGGGTGGTGATTGAGTGAATGAGGTATACTGAGGTGTCTTCAACTGTCACTCCTGGTGGAGCAGCAATGAGAGAGGGATTGTCTGGTTATGAGAGAGTTTGGAAAACCTCGTGGGGCTGATGCGCACAACGCCATCGGGATTTGTCGGTGATTGTGGATATTTTTGGGGGTAATGCCGCAGCCATCGATGATGTTTTATCAAAACTCGTGGTTGGATTGATTTTAGGGACTTAACTATCAATTATGAGATGAAATTGGCAATCAATTGATAATGGATACGGAGATATGATCATTAAGTGGGTAAGAAGCTATCTTGTGCGCACTGATAGCCAATAAGTACAAAGTGACACGAAATAGTGAAAACGGAATCGTTTACACGCTCACATCGTCATCGGGCCATTTGGTGTATGTGGAGTAGCTGGTGGTGGGGTTTTTCGTTGGTGAATCCACCAACGGTAGGAGCAAACAGGCGATATAGAGGGCTAAGAGCTGTGAGAGGGGTGGAGATAGAGCCACCAACGAGTGAAGTGTGGTGGGGATAGTGAGTATGTATCCGGCATAGGGGTTGGGCCAACCTCAAGTGTCTTGTCTCCTATCATCTTCTTGTTCCGAGTATCGTTTACGAATGAACCGCGATCGAGCGATCGGCCACTTCAATTGGCGACCCACCACCACCTTTGGCATCCTTATTTTTACAGTATCAAGCTGTTTACCTGGAAAGTCAGTTTTCCTTCATCGGGGGTTGAGTAGCAATAGTGAGGAGGTGACGATGAGACTGTTGGTTGATTGTTTGAGAGAGATGTGTTATTTCAGTACGTGTTTATCATAAAATTCTAGACAAATGTTGAGGTGTTGAGTGTGATTGGCAACAATTGGACATCCGTCAGAGGACAATTTACGATTTTTTGATTTTTTTTATTGTTTGTGTGTTAATAAAAGAAACGAAGATTGTTCGACGCGTGTTGTTCCCGACGGCGGGAGCCGGGAGGGTCGTGGAAGTGAAGGACAAGGAGATTGACCACCACCCGACGGAGGAGCGGGTGGTGATTAACGTCACTGAGGAGGAGGACATGTCGGCTGAGACTGATATAGAGGTGGTATCAGCTGAGGATATTGACGCATCTAGGAGTAGCTCAACACCAGCGGACATGTTGCTGCAGGAGAGAAATGGTAAAGGTGGATGTGGTATTGGCAGTCATCCCTTCAGCTTCGATGTTGGTAAAGCCGCGTTAAGACCCGTCTGCAATCCCCAGTATACGTCATTCAGTATATCGAGTATACTTGGTAGACCGGAATCACCGACAGCTGATGCCACTGCCGCTGTCTCGATAGAGCGACAGTCAGATGGTGACAGGGCATCACCACCACCAGCCACTACCTCTCAGAGGCTTGGCATGTCCCATAGTTCGTCGCCGTCGGAGAGTAGGATGATATCACCGACGTCGTTATTAATGCCCGGAGAACAGAGATCACCTATCAGTCGGGCCAACGAGGCTAGGGGTAATCCTGGTGCAATTCCTTGGGCAACGAGTGCTGCTAGTCCTCCAGCTGGCTTTCCACAGGCTGGAGATCCTGTTAATTCCTTGATGGGGCATCAAGCGTTGTTAGCTAGGTAAGACTTGTACTATTTAGTCTTTTAAGAAAGAGAAGGCTGAATTAATTCTCTGACTAATTCGTTGCCGATTCGCGGTCTTTCGCCATATTTCGCTGATTATTTCCACCTCCCCAAAATTTGACGACTTTGTCAACAACATACACCCCGTATCTCACAATTATTAAATAATTTTTCGGAGTCTTCAATATTACAGATATTTATTATACAGGCGATTTTTCGTAATTACTTAGTAATTGACCGGCACACCCGTCCCCCTTTGTCAGCCGATTCCTCAATAATTAGTACACCAGCGTGTTGACGAATCGATCACATTAATCATCATTGATAATTACCTATTTCCAAATCAGTCATTCCTGTTGAGAGGTCTTTCAACATCAAATTCGAAAACAGATGCCTCATTTAATTCAGACACATTCAAATAATTGATAAATGTTGCAAAAAAAAAAAATTGCAAATCCTAAATCTGGCACCTACAGCCATCCTAATTGAAAACTTCAAATCATAAATGACTCCCAAATTTTCCAAAATTCAAACCCAAGTTTTTACTGCACAATTGCACGTGTTTGTAATCCCAAAAACCCACAAATATTTCCAAACATGCCTAGCCAGCCAAAATTCCGGGATCCGTCGAAAAGGACTCGGAACAATACCCCGGGCCTTTTACCGCCCTCAAACAGGAATTTAACATCATTAGGTTTAACCCAGTAGACATTATCTCCCACGTGATCTCGTAGGTGGGCGCGTGTGCAAGATGTATCTTGATACATCTATCCAAACTTGTATGGACTGCATTAGTTACTCGATGAGGAGAAAAAAAAGGTTTAAGAGGGGGCGTGCAGGGATGGCGCGTGCGGTAAAGATTATATTATAGTGGAATGGACCAAGGGGAGAGCTGAGAGTACTGGTAATGGGCCTATTAGGCTGTCTCATTTAATAACAACCTTGGTCACCACCCTCTTCTTTTACTTAACGGGAGAAAATGGGTGATTGGGGATATTTATCCTGCGTGAGGACACAAGATGTCCTGGATGATGCCAGCCACAGGATGTCAGCGGGATAACGCCCCTGAAACGAGGGTTGCAGATGATTTTATCAGATTTGTCATTTCGTTCACCCCAGTGTGACACACCCCACGCTGATGGCTCGCCAAATTGCTTGTTTTCCACTCGTTTACCGTTTTATTAAGTTCCAACGGAGTTACTAATATTTATCATTTCAATCCTAATATCTGCAATGCAAATTGGTGATTGAAGAATTTGGAGGGCGAAAAAATTCAGGTGTCTCTCTCAATTTGAAAAAATCTATTCTCCTCGAAATAAATGAATTCTCAGACAATCAAGACTATATCCTAATCCAACTTTCTGATGCTCAACCCCCGAAACCCGAGTCCTGCAATTTTCTCCAATCACTTCCTCATGTTACAGTCTCCCCCAAAAATCATGGGATTATCTTTCAATGCCTCCCCGACGTCTTTGAAGAACTCGAGATTTTCTAAAAAATAGGGGATGAACTGAGTCGGTTACCGAGCGAGTACGAGGGGTTAAAAGAGAGAATCAATTAGGAGTGGACGTGCATAATGGATGGTAAACCGAGTGGGGGTTCATATGGTGTAGGTTAAGGAGCCATAGGATTCCCCCGAGGACTCAAACTACTACACCCTAGTGCTCAGCAACAATATTCCTTATGTGCAGGGCGTTCCCTAACTCATCCACAGCAAGATCTGTCCATTTGTTTCAGCGCAGCCCCTTACATCCTCTCCGCAAGGAAGGAAGTATGCAACTTCTTGGTCTGATTTATTATTAAATTTTCCGGTTGCTTCTCAAAGTTGATTTCATATACATCATCATCTACCCCGAGCAGCAACCTGATGGGAATAAGTGAGTTCAATCGTGTATTTTTCGGTCTCCGGAGTTATTCAACGGAAATATTGAGCATTTGAGTGGCCATCCAACGTGTAATTATTAATTTATTTTTATCTTTACTCCTTGAGCATTTTTTTCCGGGAGATTTGTGATTTTTTATGAGGGGATTTTCTCTGGAGATTTTTGTTTGGGGAATAACCCCTAGATCCTATTTTTCAATGATTTTAACTCGACTGAGTGGGATTTGAATTTATTGTCAAGTAGCGCAGCAATCACGAGAATATTTTCATCGAAATAATTCAATGATTGATGCAATTTCCAATCAGCGTTTTGTGGATGCTGATCGGGAGGTTGGAACGGGATGGATTATTGAACATCGATTCAGTGGAATCCATTATTGCCAGCGCATTCAGCCGCGGTGTATGTCACCGAGATCGGTGAAAGAGAGATTCACTCGCTAATCCTAGCGATAGAGATTCGCTTGCGTTAATTACAACCCAGCCCAAATGAATGATTCGTTAATTAGTGTTGGATTGAGTCGCGCAGCGGCTCATGAAAAGGAGAGAAACCGCAGAGAGGCCGCATGATAAAGCCCATTGTGGATGATCGTTCGGCCGATGAACTGAAATGTTTCGATGAGCCATGAGAGGAAGTATCGAAATAGAATTTCCAATGTCGCATTGAGAGTATTGAATCCGCGGTTAGGAATGAGCCTCACTATTCTGACTAGCTAATCCCGCTGACGATTGCTCAAAATTTTTAAAAAGTTTTGGATCTCATTCATCGGGACTGAATTAGCTTTCGCCAATAGTAAATTGCGATATTTCATTCTGATTCGAACTAGGGGAAGATAAATAGTATCAACTACCGAGTCAAGTACGCGTAATGGAGACAAACGCAGTAGAACGAGCTTCATAAAAATTCCAGAAGTCCCAGAAATTGTAAAGCGAGGATAAAGGAGTGAGTTATACGCCACTCAGCGCATTGTTTATAATTCAGAGGGTTTTGGATTGAAGCTCTATCGTCTAGTAAGTCCCGTTTCGCTCGGATATCTCCTTTTTCTGACCTCCTCCCATCCTCTAAAATGCAATGGAATACTAGCGTAATGGCTGGGTAGAACTCGCTGGTCTTTGTCGAAGTGCTTTCACGATTAAGGAAGAAATTACAAGAAAAAAGGAATGATAAAAAATCGAAAGCAGAGAGAAAACGCAAGAAAACGTTCGTTGAAGATCAAAGTGGCCCCCAACCAGCGGAAAAGAGCTCGACAAACGGCCGAGCTAATAATTGATCAAACCCTTCTCCTTGGACAACGTGAAATCATTGTTTATTGCAGTAGCAAATAATTTTCCCTCCCCTTCTCTCTTTCACTGGAAATTTTTCCTCCCTCTCATTTCGAGCAGAGATCAAAAGCTGGCTTGAAAGGAAAACCACTCAGGCAATATTACCGATGAGTCTTGAAAGCGCTGTGGGATCCCGGATGAAACGGGCCGTAATGGATGTAATTGGTCGGATCACAGAGATGTATCTCTCTCCTAAACGCCAAGCTTTCTCAAGTTGACTGCCACTCGCGTTAACAATGAAGACACTGTTGAAAATTATTCTGCACTTAAAACGTCAGACGACCAAATCATTCCATTACATCAATCACCTAAAAAGTTTATCCAACTAGGATGACGGCAAATGAAAAAACAAATTACAGCTGAGTGGATAAATTTAGAATCGCCTCTGTCGTAACCAACCCGGCCCAAGATTGCCAACTTCATTCGTCCGTGCAAGTACAACAAGAAAATCTACCTCCATCGCTCCGCCCTCGATTATGTACGCCAAACTTGTCTACATCTCTCCACCAACTCATCCCCTGCACCATCCATCTAGTTCGCTGATTCAACTACCCCTGCAAGTAAACACTTTTTGCCCCCCTCGGCTAAACTATCCTACATATTATTTAGTACTTGCGCTTCTTCTGGCATATCGGATTGCAGTCGTTAACAACCAGTGCTGTGATACGATGAGTAAACGAGCGCATCGGAGAGGAAGATTGTTGGCTTATGTATCACTTGTGCAGTTGGTTAACAATTAATGGGTGTAGAGTAACCGGAGTTTGATATTCCATCGTAGTTTTAAATTGCACTGCATCAGCCAAATCGGCGTGATTTTGCGGTTAGCGTCAAGAGTCAGAAGCACCACTCTGCATTATTCCAAGTGCATGCGGAATAACGCATGAGTGGAAATAAAAAAAAAAACCCATAGCAAGTAAGGATCGATTGAGCACTTTGGCCCTTGAAAAGCCCTAGAAGGGCTCTCCTCAGTGGCACGAAATCCCTGAAGAGCTCCATGTTTTAAACTCAGACACTTGAGCCACAACTCAAAATACCATTTCATCATATTTCAAGCATTTCCCAGAAGCAAGCTCTCAATACCCTCCCCAAATAATCACCTCGATTTTGTAACCTGATCAAGAGATACGCCTAATTGATCTCCCTGAGTGGATGAATTTACCCCGAGAGAAGGAAGATGAGAAAATCTGAAATCTTGTGACGTATGATGATCTGGGGATTGCGACAGAATCCGTCGAAACCCTCTTGACGAAAAGAAAAAGCCTTAGAAAGACGTCGAAGAAGGGAGAAGACGACAGGGTGTGGAATTAGGGCTGGCAAAGGAGCACACCAACAGAATAAGAAGTATATATACCTTCGTGTACCTGCTCTGGATCTCTTGGCTGCTTACAAACAGACGGTTGTCAGATTTCCTTTATCTCACCCGGGGCATCTGCACACAAGTATACAGAGCCATCTCACTTCAAACCAACCTATCCACCATCCTCTAAACCATCTCAGCCTACCCCTCAACCCCCTGGTATTTATCTCCCTCTCACTTATTTCACCGTCTCCATCCGTCCCAAGAATGAATCCTTAAAGCTCTTAATTTGTCTCCCCCCGGTGTTTGCTTGTCGTAATTCCTGATCGTTTCCATTCCACTCTGCGCCTCGAAGAAAGGAAAAAAAAAAACTGTCGTCTCCTTTTCTCCAGCGGCGTCAGAGCCCACCCTCGGTGAGAAGCCGATAATCATCGGACAAACAGCAGGGAAAACCGTGGGGCGACGAAATGAGATCAAATCACACTGAGCATTAGACGTATCCCCAGCAGGTAGCGGGACAAATGCATTTCTAAGGAGAATTCGTTACCGATCATTCTACAGTCTAAAACAGTGTACAACTGATTCACCGTTACACGAGCAGAGGTAGGGGAAAAAAAATGGGAAAATTTTTGTACGGCTTCGCGAAGCCTCAATACAACTCCATGCAAGCCTCGGAGATCCTATCCTACTTACCTAATACCCACATTTTCCTGGCAATCGTTGCGTCCAATCGTCGGATTTGCTGAGTTTAAAAAAATACACTATTTCCGATCTACGATACCGTACACCACTTAAAACCCCCGAAGCCTACTTTCCATAATTAGGACATTGTATCTTTCAAGAGGCCATTTTAAAACTATTTATTTATTCATTTATGTACATCAATTTTAATTACCGCTTAAACTGCTTTCATGGTATTCAGTCAGAGTCATAACAAGTGGAAGAAGTAAATGCAGTAGCTCTTGAAAATGTTGCAATAGTACAAAAGTTTAAAGTACACGAAGAAGAATCTGCGGAGAAATCTCCTTTGAAGTCTCGCTGAAAATCATCAAGCTTCTCCGTAATTCTGGGGTAATTTATAATGTAATCGAGTTTTTGAAGGGGTGAAGCATAAAAAAGTCGTAAGAGTACATCCGAGAAAAATTGTCGGACCACGTTCATCAGAAGTTCATTGTAAATCCATAAATGTTTCGTCAATCTTGAGAAATTTCCCATTAGCCCGGATTAATTTATCTATCAAGAGATGAATCGTGAATTTTTTCATCCATTTCATTCCGTAGGAAACACATTTTTCAATACGCCTTCATGTGAACATGATGAAAGCAGAATATAGACAGCAGTTGAATGGAGAACGAGATTGAGTGAAGACTTTATATTCCACTAAACATCTTGTTAAACTGATTGAACGAAAACTGTATGTCATCTTTTGGAAAAAATCTTGACAATCTTCATTCTTCTAGTTTGATTTTCCTTTAGCATTCTGAGATGCTTAAGGGATTGAATTTAATTATGAAAATTGTTCTCATCCACAATTTCGGGGCTACGGCGCTGAGTCGAATGATGAAATTTGCCGAGTTGACATCAATAATGACTCGTATTTTCGACTTGCAGTCTCTGGAGCGGATTTTGGAAAATTAGGGCAGGGCACCTCGAAAAAGGCCATTTAGCCAAACTAACAGTATGCTTTGCACATGGGTCAAACTTTGGTGAACCCAAGTTGATGGTAGAGTTTGGCCCGGGTGGATTGTTGGATGTTGGATGAAGTGGCCACAACGGTGATATAGAAGGTTGACGTATAAACACTGTGTTACCAAAGATAATAGCCTATGGTTGGGTCAATGGCGATACACGATAGCACGGAGCGTCCATGTTTGGCTTTTTGGATCGATCCCTGCTCTCTGGTTTATCACGAATGTCTATATACAATGTATGTACAATATCGATGTATGACCATACCTGGAGCGGAGAGGATTTCATCGTTTCACCTGAAATTGTACGCTAGTTTACCCTTCGTAAAACGGGATTTGGCGGGAGGATGGAGAGGGATGAGGCTCGAAACAACTATGGGTTATATGGACGTTGGAAAATATAACTGGATACTCTGTTAACGATTCGTTGCATGCTCTATTGAGTATTGACCAGACGTGGGTTGGATATTTAATCGAACACAACTCGATGCTTCATTACAAATTAACGGTTTATATATTCGAGTGTGTGTCGTTTTTGATGGTAGGACGATTGAGAATGAAAGGATTTTTGACGGATAATTTCATGCACATCATATCCTCTTTTCTGTCTGATGTATCATCAATGAGAGTGGGAGGATACGAGAGGATGGCTATCATATATTGATCGGTTAACTGAGTGAATTTGACATTTGACTTTTGATTTTTAGATTGGCCCAGTTGTATCCAATACCTGGTAGTTTCTTTTCATCGTCGGCCCAGCTGCAGTATCATCTTCAGCAGCAGTCGCATCATGGAAGGCTGCCGACGGTGGGATGTCAGTCGGAGGCTGCAAAGGCCGACGGCATTCGGGGGCTCCTGGGCAATGGAGGCTGGCCGTTTCCATGGACGCACAGCTTACAAAGCCTCGAGCATCACACCCAGAGTGATGTTGGGGCACTCAATCGTGGCAGTCCACCCACTGGATCCTATCTCAAACGAGGTTGGTAGACACCTAATCAGCATTCGCTTTCACAACATCAACCAGCATCACTCGTAATAACGTTTCATTTGGGGTACACCGAGTGATGAGCCACTGAACTAATCAATGTACGCCAATATTGTGGTTAACCCCGTATCCTCTAATGTCATTATCATCATCTGATTGTCATCGGTGAACAGAACCTGGTAATTAAGGGCTTGACGGGATGAGTAAAGCTGAGTTGTGTCAGTTGAATTATCGTGATATCTTCAGAATCATAATTGTTGAAGGCAATGATATTACACCCCCTAATAACATCTGGTGTCTCAACGGTGGATTTGAGTCATGGCACTCCTCCCACAAGTCATTCACAGATAAAGATCAAATTAATACCATCAAACGTTGCGTTGAAAGCCCCAAAGTCTGTCTCTTTATAAAACGTCTGGTGTAATTCGTGTGGCTCTCGGAGTCGAAAAACCGAGGAGTCTGTTGAAATGTGAATCTCGTGTTTTTGATGGAGTGAGAAATGAGTAAAGGGATATGCCAGCAAGTTCATGGGATTTCTCGAGTCAGACACTGGGTATTCTCGGTTTTCTATGGGTTATAGATATAGGAGGTAAAGAGGTTGGTTTCCTGGCAAACCACCAGTGTGGCTGGTACAGGGGTGTGATTAAAATTTTTAGGGGTCGCCATCCACCAACTCACTGTCCCTTGGGTTCTTTCTTTTTTTGGTGTGTCCGCGGTTAACGTGCGTGATACAAGCCAAAATGGTTAGAATGGGGTAGAATTTAGGAGGGACAGTGTTGTAAAAAGGGCCACTGTGGAACATAAATGGGTGGATGTAAGCGAGACGAATGATGAGGGACAGCATTATATGGGAGAGTTGAGGGGTATTCACAGATACAAGCGTGGAATAGTCGATGGTATGGCTTCATCGGGGGCTTCTGTCAACGACAAACCAACGTCGATCGCCTTACCCGATCGTTTTGCCCACTACCACTTTTACTGTTAATACTTGGCCTTACGATACCACACAATTTTCCCCCGATTTTCATCCTCTGTCAATACCTACTTTGATTGCGCACTTCTCCATTGAAAACGTGTATCAAAACAATATCGTATGGCTTCCGAATCCACAGGAAAATTGTTCTCATTCGGTAAAATGTTGTGTTGACAGAGGAATTGGAAGACGACAATCCGGCTGACGATCGTCTTCACAGCGGTGGCAGGAGTCCGTCAAGTGGTGACGAGGGTCACGACGATCTTGGGGACGTGGAGGATGGACCGGAGGGTGATGGTGATGGAGAATCACCGGGTGGTGGTCACTCGTCAACCGGTGGTAGCGGTAGTGGTAGTCAGAGCGTCCAGGTCAATGTCAATGACAACAACAATGTCAAGAGGAAAAAAAAGACAAGAACTGTATTCTCGAGATCTCAGGTATATCAGCTTGAGCACACATTCGAGTGTAAACGTTACTTGTCATCATCAGAGCGCGCCTCTTTGGCAGGACAATTGAGATTAACAGAGACCCAAGTGAAAATTTGGTTTCAAAATCGGCGGAACAAGTGGAAACGTCAATTGGCAGCTGAATTGGAAGCTGCCAATATGGCGCATGCGGCACAGCGGCTGGTACGCGTGCCCATTATATATCACGAGCCAAGTTCAACGAATTCTGGTAGCACCGGTGGTGGAATATCGATACAATCGACAACCTCAAGTAATCAATTACCAGTGGCAACTGCTGGCACTCATTCGGTTGGTGTTGCCGTCGGTGTTGGCACATCATGCGCACCCTGTACAACAGCACCACCCATATTCTACTCACCTCATCACTCTCATCATCATCACCATCATCATCCACCCCATGTGCAACCTCACTCCTTATTACCCCACCAAGTACATCCACAACCACCACCACCTCCACCACCACCACCCAATTCCGCCCAATCCGCTCAGTCATCCCAATAACCCTTTCCATCACTTTATCGTCCTGATGCACTGAGTCAGCGTGAGCTCGACGCACGATATTCGAGATTTCTCGCTGCCCCGTGAACTCCCACGATGGAGTCGATGATCGTGCCGATGATGAACAAAACAATTCCATTATGTCGCTAATTGTGTTAATAAAGATTAATATTGTAATTATAATATAAATATGATGATTTAAAGGAATGGAGGATTATTCGCGCGATATTCAACGCACCGCTTTTAAGGAGACAAGAGTAAATTGATGAAAAAGATAAGAAATAACGATTCGTACTCGCCCGATTGTCCTAATATTATTGATATTGACGAATAAAAGACGATGCTACGTGTCAATATACGCGAATGCAAGTAAATTTATTCATTTATCTTTATCCCGAATCCTCAATATATGGCAAATTCATGCGCAAAATTTCGAAAGTGAGAAAGACTAAAAGGATGAATCATCACCAGCCTTTCACTGAAAATTCTTTAACATATTTTTGCTCTTCATCTGGAAGTACATCAGGCATTACCATCACTGCACTTCTCTTTACCACATAAACCACGAGGGAGCATCTCATCCACAATAGAACAGAGGATCTCTGTGCACAACGCTAAGGCCATCCCAGGGTATTTGAAAATCCGTTGAGTAAGTAACACCGAGAGGACAAACATAAGTACATGCACTTCAATCATTGCTCTTCACTTCTCACACTGTGTCGCACGCCATCGCTTTTTCCCGTTCATACGTACATTTCTACCTCTTTTTCATCCTCAACCTCCTTCACCTCTCTTTTTATCCTGATCTAACGGCGAACGACACAGGCTCTTTCATCCGTCGATATTGTCTTTTTCACGTAGGCAATGCACCTCTTTTCCGTCACACCCACCCACATTTTCTATTTATCTTTTTCTCTCTCCTCTTCTTCCATATACTCCATATGTACCTCTTTCTGGCCGAATGGTGTCGCGTAACCTCTCAAAAAGCCGTCGGGAGTTGTCGGTCGACGGTGGAATCAGAATCACCTTTTTACTTTTTATATCTCTCCCTCTTTTTCCTCATGTACACAACTCAGTGTGCCTCGCTGAAAATTGCTCTTGAAGGGTTGATATTGTCACGGCTCTACCCACCCCATACTTAATCCAAGAACACTTTCCCTCCTCTGCATTTAGTTATTTCACTAAAATTGATGAAACGAGAAGAGCACGATTGCTTCACCCCTTTGCCCCGTCTCTGCATCTCTGCTCTTTCATCGTCTCGGCTTTTTTTCTCAGTCTCCTATTCTCAATCATTTCGTTTCAAAGTCCTTCCCATGTGTTGTGAAAAACCAATGATCTCATCCCCTTTCTCTTCAATTATCAATCCTCTCATGTTCAATTTGCCTTTAACTTTTCTTTCTATTTTTACCTGTCTTTCTTTTTCAAGCTAAACAATTATCCTACTCAATGTACAAACATTAAAAAATCAATCGTCAGACGATCCGAAATAAATTATAGATTAAAATCCTCGAGAACTCCTTGAATCCCGATTTTTTTCACTCAAATAGATAAAATACTGGGAACCACCTCAAAAACTACTCAAAACACGAATTTTCCATTTGAGTTCATCGGGACCAAAAATGATAGTGCGACTTCCCCATTGTCAAAAACTCTGCCATTTTTATCACAACGCGATTCCAAGCATCCAATAGTTTGAAATGCATCAACGATGACTCGAGCATCGATAAGATCGAGGAATCGTCTGAAAAGCACTTGGAATCACGAATTTTTCATTGGAGTGTAGTGTAGTGGAAAGAAAATAGCCGTATTGAGCGGTGTAATCGATGGCTTCTGGGAATTGGGAGTGGTGAAAAACTGAGAATGTGTGAGACGAAGTGAAATGGGGGGGTGGGGGGTGGGAGGGGGGTCTCAGGTATCGAGTTTGTCAACGGATCGAAAGTTTGCCTCAGCGCATTGTCGCCCTGGCAATCTGGAGTCGAATTGCGGGGCTCTCCTCTGTACTTCATTCTCATTCCCCCCCATTACCCCCCACCATCACCCTCATGTGCTCTGGTGTTTGCCGTGTGCTCGTCACCGCCCTCTTCCTAACGCATGTATCGTGCCCCGGAGTAATTTAACGCGTAAAGGGGATGACAATAGACTCGAGAGTGCGCCATGTGCCCCCGCGTTAAGGCTATCCCCAACCCCCCTACCTCTCCTACCCCCCTAACTCCCCGATCCTACTATCCCTTTTCACTGCACTCTGCTTTCCACTGGATGTATACACTACGGGTAATGATCGTGTTACTGGCGTGTTTGTCAAATCCCTGGGAGTAAAGAAAAATCACCTAATAACGTGACGCCTACAATTTTTGTGGATCAGCCCAACGTTTTTCAAGAGACTTTTGAGAAAAATGTCCTTTTCACGGGTTTTTATGGTGCTTGGGTGGGGCACGGAATTAATTCTCCATTTGGGGGAAATTCGAATGAATCGCTTCAGGATATCTCAGTGGAACTGCTCTACCAGTGAAAAAATCATGAAATTCAAGGATTAGGAATGGACACGGTGATGACGTCATGTATAGACATTCTGAGGTGGCCAGGACAAAAATTATACTTGAATTTTTTCATGTTATTCTCGTAATTCTCAATTTTCAAGTCCTTATGATACTTAAAATCCCTGGGATTGTGGGAAATTTAAACGATAATTCCCGAGGGTGTTCGATTTATTGAAGATTTAATCGTCATTCAAGCAATCGTTTTAAAATCATGAAAAACCCAAGGTTCTTGAAATTTCCAAAAAAATTCGACGTTCTTTATCTCATGTTATTTAAATATTTTAACAATGATGTAACGGATAATACAATAACAACTTTAATGCTTATATTACTGATCGATAATTATTTGATTAATTTTCACTTGACGATGAGCACTTCGACGACGAGTACATTTTATTTACTAAAGACATTTTATCGGTCGGAGGGAGTGAAATTAAATCACTATCACTCATCTAAACAAGCCCAAATATTGACAACAAGAAAACAACTAATTTACCCCCAACTTCGCCCCGAATTAATCGGTTAATTGACATTACCATGGTGGGTACTACACCCCGCCATCTGTACAGCCTGATTCTGATCCTAAAAGGCAATGTTAACTGAGGGTGAAGATCACCGCAGTCAGACAGATGACGCTGGAAGGGCTGATGTGCCCCATAACACTCTTTTCCATGTAATTTATCGCAACAGTCCATTATCGCTCTTCACAATCATTTTCGTCACTGATTAAAGCTGTCGTAAGCTCAAGGTGAGTCCGAGGGGTTCATTACGCCCCCCAGAAAAAAAAATTTCTCGCCCCTGCACTCGCCGCGGTGTCAAAATTAATTACGAGCTCCATTAGAGTAATTATTTAACGAGTAAGTGCCGATTTACTTATCTGGATGGGTTTTTAAAATTCGTCAGAGACATCGAACATCATCAAATATTTATTTTACACCCAGAATAAGCAGATGATCAACTGAAAAAAATATTGAATCTCTTATCACTATTCATCTTCAACACCAACGACTTCGACAACAAAAAAAAACTCCCCTCCATCATCACTCGACCATTTCCCAACCACCAATGACAATCCCCTCCCCCTCAAAATCCATATCCTTTCGAGTGGTTTCCCTCGATCGCCAACATCACGCACCAGATCCGAGTGACAACTTCAACGAAAATACACACACGTCTATAGCCATTTAATATCCCTCCATTGGATCCCGGGCGATTCACGATGTGTGGCACTCCCCGGGCTTTTTCGTACAAAAACCTATAAAGTGAAAAAGGGAAAATAAAAATGGAAAGGGGGAGGGAATAGATCACGAAGGGACCAAAGGGGCCGAAGGAGAGAAAGAGAACATGAAAAACGGGAATAAAAAAAAAAACGAGTCAATGGGTATAAGCACTAACTATGAAAAGGAGAAAGGGCGGGGGGTGGGTGCGGGGAATTCGCGAATCGTCGCTAGATTAAAAAGAGGCTCTCCCTTTTCACTTGCTCTTTTATACCGCGCCTCGAATCACTCCTCTATCCTGTGCTACATGCCACCCCCCACGCACCATGTGTACGAAAAAAAGAAAAAAAAATGCGTACATGTACAGGCGTATGGGTGGGCATGGTGAAAAGGGTGAACGTAAAGTTCTGCTATTTTTTTTCCCTGGCGATAACGCATACGGACATTGAATGTATACCAACATCATTCGATATTCCTCACGACCGTATGTTGAAAAAAGCAATTCGATACCCTATGGTGCTGAGTTGAGAATGAGTACGCTCTGCAAGTACTAAGCCTCCCCCTTAACGTACAGTGTAAAAAAAGGTATATTTCGTATTTTGTATACACACGTTGTTGGGGCGATGTACCCCGGTTGGTCGAGGTTCAGTTTAGGATATGGATGGAATGAAGATTCTATTCATAAGCGGATTTTCACGATTCGAAGTGGATGCTGCCGTTCCTTCTCGATTATTCTTGTAGTAGTTACGAGATTTTTTTTCCAACTCCAGAGCATTAGTTCGAGTACCTTGACAAGCGGTTTTTTTCTTCCTAGCGACCGTAATTGCCAGATCCTCAGGTTGGTTAATTTTGTAAGTGATTCTATGAAAATTTAGAATGGGATTAAGGAGAAGGGAAAAATAGTGATAAAGTAATGGAAAGATTAAAAAAATTGAAAAATCTTTATAAATTGAAAATAAGAAAAAAATTCTCCATAAAAAGCAAGGTAAATCCTAATAAGCAACTACCCCCTAGTATCTACAGATTTCTTACACAAAATCCCGTAAGTTCTTTCTTCCCCTAATTATCCATTCATTAACAGAAAAATTTCCACGATTCCCCTACAAACTCTCAATCCACCTGTAAAATTGAAATGTCACAACGAAATTGTACGAATAAAAAATGCGAGACCCCGAAGGAAATGGAAAACTAACATTTGAAGGAAATTCAATTACTAAATTAATTATCCCTCAGATGTTACCGCGAGAGTAGCATTAAAATTTCTGAACGTACGCAAAACCGTATCCCCCATGTTCCATTTTTTTTTCTCAAAAAAACGAGTGAAATAACTAAATGAATGGACCGAAGCGTGGAGCATGTGGCAAGAAGGGGTTCCTTTGAGCCCACCCATGCTCCATTCCTCCTGGATTAATTAATGAACCTCTCTCACTCCCATGCTCTATTGCAGAGCCATGCAGCAAAGGGATCACCGATATTGAACACGTTGCATAACGCTTGTTTCATTCTCCCCTCTCCCCTATCGTCTCCTTCACCCCTTGT